CCCTCCCTGTTTTTTGGGGGGCACAAAAGAAGCAAAAATGCAGCCTAGATTTCTTGGGGTGCCTGGCGCTTTCCGGGCCTTGCCCATCCTTTTTGGCATGGGTGCCCTCCTAGGGCTGGTGCCAGTGCTTCATAGCCATGGCTTGCAGCCCAATCCTATGATGGTCACTTTGCCACCACACTCCTCCAAGGCCCTCATAGCAGCCATGGAGAGCATCACCGCCGCGCCACCTGTACCCCAAGATAGCCAGCCTGGGGCCACGCATCTCCAAAATACGTCTACTGCCGGACATGGCAAACACCGGAAGCCTTTTCCTGTCCTGGGCATTGACTACCATCATGTGCGAATACCCTTTGAGATTGCCCTCTGGATCCTGTTGGCGTGCCTCATGAAACTGGGTAGGTAACCCGGGTCCATGTGTGCATCTGCGCACTGCCATGTATTCCCATTTATCGCTCGCCAAAGTGTGCCAGGGTTACAGTGCCATGGGGATGCCACTCTCCTCTGGATGAGGTTGGCCCCAAACACTTAGCCACCAGATGCAAAAGCAATAGCAGCTTCATTTGCAGGGGGCAAGCTGGTGGTATGTTCCTCAAAGAGTTTGGAAAAGTTACTTTTGGAGAAGGTTACACCTGAGGGCATGCTGATTGGGTGGGATGCAGGTCCTCACCTTCCCCAAATGTAAGTTTTGCAAACTTATTTCTCAGGAAATGTTCCATAGATAACAGATGTGCTCACATGTGGTGTTTCTTTAGGAGTGATGCTCTGAGATCTGCAGAGTCCTTCTTATTCAAGTGGATCTGTGTATGTTTTTGTTGTCGTCGTTCTTAGCTGCCTTTGAGACAACTATGGTCCGAAACACACTGCAGAAATAGTCCAGTTTGAGACTGCCCTAGCTTAAGGCTAGGGAATTTTGGGAACGGTAGTTTTGTGAGACATTGAGCCTTCTCTGTCACAGAGCTCTGGTGCCACAATCAACTACAGTTCCCAGGATTCCCCAGCAATGAGCCAGGACAGTTAAAATGGTCTCAGACTGGGTTATTTCTGCAGTGTGGTTTGGACCTTTGACTCACAGCAACC